TCTGGTTCCTGACGTGGATGACGCCTAGTTATTTAATTTAATTTACGGTTACACAATATTGCACTTGTGATTAATTAAATCCGTTATCTAAGTAAAAACTTGTTTAATCTCACTTGGTTTGAATTTTCTTTCAAATCGTGATCCGAAATGGTTGCGGTATTTGGAAAACAACATAATGTAAACATATCAGTGACGGCTAAAAAATAATAATCTTGATCCAAACTAACAGCTTTTTGTTATTTCATAGATGACGTATGTGATAAACATTAGGAAAAAACTTTGGAAACTGGGGAAAAACGCACAAAATTGGGTTTTTGAACGCCCGTCATTTTATTTACAAAGTAGTGAGGCCATATTGTAATGGCTAAAGACACTCTCGTCAATCATGTGAATACATGAAAATGATTTGAATCTTGATAGATACTCTCGTTTTCCTGGAGAAGATAGCGTAGAATGCCATCTTGAGTGTTGCAGACAGACAGAAATAGAGATAAGACTAGTTTTTGCTTCTTTAATGTATAACACGTAAAAATAACCAAAAATATGTAATTCTGAGCAATGTACAGACAAAATTCTAATTTTATTTATATAGCATTATATAATCTTTTTCTTACACCTGCCCCACCAAATTACCAAATATTAGGGTAGAAGAGAATTTTGAAATTGGCGCACTCTTTGAGTGACTATTCCAACTATTGTCATTGACCATAACAAAGGACGGTACTTTCCTGTTAAAGGGAACATTCATTATTATCGATCTGATTTCTTTCGATATATCGATATTTTTGTTTTCCTTTACAATCCATACCTTCTGTTTTAAAATCTTCAAACACATTTACATTACAAATTGACAACTGATCTTGTTTAGGCAAAACATAAATAAGTAAAACTGTTCTAAACTAACCTAACATAACCAACCAAACTTACTGAGTTTGCTGTATCATTTCAAAATTTCATTTGATAACAGAAAAGGCATGTGAGTAATATAAAATGGAATTTGGAAATTTTACAGCAAGTTTGGTTGGTTAGGTAAGGTTAGCTTAGACAAATTTCATTGTAGTATAATATTTTTAAACTGTTTGTTGATACTGAACAATATTTATTTATCGTAGTTGTCAGCTGACATCTCGTTCATTATCGGATCAAAAATAGAATATCGATATATCGAAAGAAATCAGATCGATAATAATGAATGTTCCCTTTAACAGGAAAGTACCCAAAGGACCATAAGGCTGGGAATACACTATCATAGTTCTATGACATTTATCTATTACCAATTGTCTTTGATGAAAATATTATAGTGTAATGGACCAACTTACTATACAGTATGATATTGTGTCTATGATAATCCTAAAACGATCTAATCATAAACAACAACTCGTCCCCTAGTTATACAGTATAACCAAGAATCAAAGTACAAATCATAAAATTAACCCTAAAATAATGAAAACAAAATTTTGTCGTCACTAGTGATCGGTGTCACCGGACATGAACTAGACACAAAAACGAGCATCAAAATGTTCAATAGGATGAGAAGTCTACGTTACACCGAAACAAACCCAAAACTTATTGGCTGATAGACTCTCTAACAATTAATTTACTAAGATTGGATTTCACAAAACTAAAAAACCAAAATTAAAATTACTGTATTCTCTTCCTCTCAAAACGAGGGGGGGGGGGGTTATGGCCGCGTGGTGTTGGCATTTTCGCGTAATCTGTTAACACTTGTCATAGGCTGTTGACCATGTTCGCCTAAGTGTCTACCTTGGAAGGATGTTGATGACGTCACCTGTCGGATCCACCACAATCGGTGTGTTCGGAAGTGTTGACCATTAGAATATTGTCATTCAGACCACGTGACGTCCTTCCTTCCGATGCTCGCCGGCGGCCGCAGCCTTTGGACGTACGATTGAGGAATCTACAAATACACTGCTTGGCTTCGTAAACCTACCCAAAGGAGAAGCTTGTAAACATTATATAAGTCGTCATTAAGGATATCTACTGGTAATTGAGGTTACTGAAATAGGCTATACACATATCTTACTAGAAGGTCACAGCAGCCACTGAAAAATTACTGATGTTTGTAAAGTAGTGACGGTCGAAATCAGAAATTATTGTACGTCGCGATAAAGAAACTAATCAACTCTCCGAACCTCGAAACCTAAACGCAAAACTTACTTGCCTGAACAAGGTTGCAAAAACAGATACAGGTAATAATAACAACTAGAAGTAGTCCAGTGGTTGAAAACTCGACCAATGTACAGACTTCTCTATTTTCACCCCACGCTGTAAATAAAACATCACTGGTTTTCGATTAACATGCTTATCTATACCATAGACTAACCAACACAAGGGAGTATGTTTTATCTATGCCTATACATAGATTGTTTTACAGTTAATAATAAAATCTTTTCAACATAATCAAAACTGTAAGAAATCAGAGGCCTAACCCTGGCATAACAATATACATATTAGATGTATTCACACATTGGTTAATATTTATTTGCATATAAAAAATATCGATATGAAACAATAATGTACATACGTTTATGTTGCATTAGTATTTATTATTGTTTAGGTAAAACTTTTAAAGAGCCACCTTGAACCAACTTTGAAGTTGGTCCGTTCCCACGCTCGGGGACGGGAACTATACACTTATCTCCGAAGGATGTGACTAAGAATAAGCTATTTTGAATTTTTTGCAAAAAATCATATTTCTGAAAACAGCCCCTTTTCTAATATAATCTAGAGTTATCTTATCGCTAGAGTAAACAAATAACGCAACTTTTAGGGAGTGCAGGGGTTGGGGTTAACGACTCCAAGGTCAAGATAATTTTTATGACTCAAGCCTCCAGTAAGAGGCTATAAATAAACAGCCTGTCTCGTAAAAGAAAATGGTTGCTATTATCTTTAATTTCAACAAAAAGTTCTGTACTGTATTACAAGGGATTTGGAAAGCATCAATTAATATTATAGTAGGCCTACTAAAGTTATTAAAATAATAATTTTTATTGACCCTTGCCTACAACTAACTATAATTTATTCCACTGAAGGTATTTGACAGCGTGTTTTGTGGCGTTTCTATCAATAAGAAAAAAGGAGATGAGCGTGATATGACAACCAAGATATGACAACAGCTAATATGAACCAAGCAGCTACAAAAGCTATGATACACAATAGTATCAATGTAATAAGCATTTTATACTTATACGCCAACCCCGTACAAAGGACGGGTACTCTGCTAGTGATTGTATAGTTCAAAATAAATAGCACTTTTTATGTTGTTAGGGATTGCCCATTTTAACCGACCTTTTGAGTTATACGACTTAGGTCCGATCCCCTTAGGGTCGGTTAGGTCTACTGTATTAGACTGATTATGATCATCTTGCAATAATGGTGAAATTGTTAACGTCTATTGTGATTGTGGCAACAAGATGTAAGTCACACCTCTTAACATTAGTAATTATACTTAACCCTTAGCAGTTGTATTTATTGTTCTCTTCTCCTTGCCTATGGAATGGAAAGGCCACACTTAGTGGCCCTCTCCATTTTGTTTTATGACGCAACATTGGCAGCGGGCCCTCCACGCGATTCCTGTTCAGCTCGGCTTGCCACCCCATAGTGGCCCCATGTTTCTCGTCATAATATTTAGCATTGTAATTTTGTTTTCTATTCTCTCCGCTTGAGAGGTGCTGCACTCCCTCGACAATCGTCGGAACTATCTGGAGACAACAACAGGAAATTGTTTTTATGAGCTTATAACAATTTTATCATATCTTTCCTTAGTGGGTGGGTGGGAATTACGTGATTGAGCCATGCGAACGAGATCATCTTGAAAATTAAGAAGTTAAACGGGGCAAAGCCCGCGGGTTACAGCTAGTATATATATATATATAAATGTAAATATACCATTTTCATTGCTTTTGAATCAGTTTTAACCATAAAAGATACTTTGTTTTTTTATTATATTTAACAATATTAAATAATTTAATTGTTATATACATTCTAATATTTGAGCAATAAAGTTGTTATACAAGTGTACATAATTAAATCCTTATGATGACCAAGTTTACAGATATATGTTAGGTTAAATATCAGTGTTTTGGATTTGAAAGGCTCCCAACAGGGCATTTAAAACCAAGGGTAAGACGTAAACAAGAGTAGTAATAATGGCGGCCAAACCAGGAAAGGGGGGGGGCACTATATACAGAGATATAACTACTATATAGAGATATATAAGAGTGGCCCTGCCGAGCTATAGGCACGTCGCTTTCTATTTATATTACAACTTGTCACATTACGGATCTCTTGGCCACACGTAGTGGCCTTCCGACCGCTAAGGGTTAACACATAGGTTTACACACTTTTACTGTGTAGCCTCAATGACAATTCTCAAGTAATATAATAATATCAGACTGATTGTGTTGATCTTCCGTAGGGATGGATTGGATAAAATTTTTAGTTCGGGACAGGACAGGATTTTTTTTCTTCCCAAGTTTCAGGACGGGTCACATTTTAAAAGTCTTGAGTATTGCAGCTACTAAAAAAGACAAGCAAAATAAATTTTTACCATTTGTGGCACTGATCTATCAAAACAAAAAAATGGGTGAAAATTTACAGGTATAGAAACTTTGTGATCATCGGTGTGACTTGCAGTCACGGTGCGATTGTGGAAATGACTTCGCCTCCTGCATTCGCGGAACTATCTTAACATATCTTGTGATAGCGGCAAAATCTCTGACGATCGGATCAAATCTCGTCCCAAAAAATTCCCAAACCAAATGTAATTCTGTCCCGAAAATTGGGAATACTTTTTTGAAATTTTGGGACCCGTCCATCCCTAATCTCCCGGGATTGGGGCAACATTGTGAACACAATAAGTGATCTTGGCAACATCTTACTGTCCCATCATTTCCCGTCCTCTACTTTTGACCTGAAATTAGGTCAGAAATGACTGTTCCGTCCTGTAGACCATAGTCTAATAGTTAAGTATGTCACAGGTTGGCCTGAGAGCTCCACTGGTGTGTACACATGTGGCTGAAGGTCACTCAAGAGCCGTCCTTGCAGTCGCAGCAACAGACGATCTGCTCTTCACAGCATCCCGAGGTGAGTCCAAAACATTAAAGTAGGTTTGTTCTGTCAGGGTGCTTTAATTTCCATGAACATTATATTAAATAAATGTTAAATCAAAGAGAGAGATATTGATGATTGTACATAAGAAGATTTGTTATCTACGTTTATAGTACAAAGAGAAGAAATATTCACTGTAATCTTGTAATCTAGATTACCTTTTCTGCCTATGCCACTAGAGACAAGCTATTTCCTACAATACTCCCTCAACACCCACTTCATTGGCAGACCTGTCAATAGGGTTGCAATTAGGGTTATGTCCAAATACTAACCGATGACACCCCACACTCATTACTACTTTTAAGTTTATCTTTGTCATTTTTTCTACTGTTTTTTATTGTTTTTGTTTCTATTCTTTGACATGACAATGATTCCTAAACAATGGATTTGCTAGATAGAGATGGGAAGAGTTTCCTTCTGCTCACAGTTATTTGCTGTTAAGGAGAGTCAGACACTAGGAGATCATCCCTACAATGTGGTCACTGTCAAATATGACCAAGAGACCAGACTATTGTATAGTGTGTCCACAGCTTATGTCCTGATAACTGTATGTGTTGTGTTAACAGATCGTACAGTAAAGGTGTGGGATCTGACTGAGGGTAAGGAGAGTCAGACACTAGGAGGTCATCCCAACAATGTGGTGACTGTCAAATATGACCAAGAGACCAGACTATTGTATAGTGTGTCCACAGCTTATGTCCTGATAACTGTATGTGTTGTGTTGACAGATCGTACAGTAAAGGTGTGGGATCTGACTGAGGGTAAGGAGAGTCAGACACTAGGAGGTCATCCCAACAATGTGGTGACTGTCAAGTATGACCAAGAGACCAGACTATTGTACAGTGTCTCCACAGCTTATGTCCTGATAACTGTATGTGTTGTGTTAACAGATCGTACAGTAAAGGTGTGGGATCTGACTGAGGGTAAGGAGAGTCAGACACTAGGAGGTCATCCCAACAATGTGGTGACTGTCAAATATGACCAAGAGACCAGACTATTGTATAGTGTGTCCACAGCTTATGTCCTGATAACTGTATGTGTTGTGTTGACAGATCGTACAGTAAAGGTGTGGGATCTGACTGAGGGTAAGGAGAGTCAGACACTAGGAGGTCATCCCAACAATGTGGTGACTGTCAAATATGACCAAGAGACCAGACTATTGTATAGTGTGTCCACAGCTTATGTCCTGATAACTGTATGTGTTGTGTTGACAGATCGTACAGTAAAGGTGTGGGATCTGACTGAGGGTAAGGAGAGTCAGACACTAGGAGGTCATCCCAACAATGTGGTGACTGTCAAATATGACCAAGAGACCAGACTATTGTATAGTGTGTCCACAGCTTATGTCCTGATAACTGTATGTGTTGTGTTGACAGATCGTACAGTAAAGGTGTGGGACCTGACTGAGGGTAAGGAGAGTCAGACACTAGGAGGTCATCCCAACAATGTGGTGACTGTCAAGTATGACCAAGAGACCAGACTATTGTACAGTGTCTCCACAGCTTATGTCCTGATAACTGTATGTGTTGTGTTAACAGATCGTACAGTAAAGGTGTGGGACCTGACTGAGGGTAAGGAGAGTCAGACACTAGGAGGTCATCCCTACAATGTGGTCACTGTCAAATATGACCAAGAGACCAGACTATTGTACAGTGTCTCCACAGCTTATGTCCTGATAACTGTATGTGTTGTGTTAACAGATCGTACAGTAAAGGTGTGGGATCTGACTGAGGGTAAGGAGAGTCAGACACTAGGAGGTCATCCCAACAATGTGGTGACTGTCAAGTATGACCAAGAGACCAGACTATTGTACAGTGTCTCCACAGCTTATGTCCTGATAACTGTATGTGTTGTGTTAACAGATCGTACAGTAAAGGTGTGGGACCTGACTGAGGGTAAGGAGAGTCAGACACTAGGAGGTCATCCCTACAATGTGGTCACTGTCAAATATGACCAAGAGACCAGACTATTGTACAGTGTCTCCACAGCTTATGTCCTGATAACTGTATGTGTTGTGTTAACAGATCGTACAGTGAAGGTGTGGGATCTGACTGAGGGTAAGGAGAGTCAGACACTAGGAGGTCATCCCAACAATGTGGTGACTGTCAAGTATGACCAAGAGACCAGACTATTGTACAGTGTCTCCACAGCTTATGTCCTGATAACTGTATGTGTTGTGTTAACAGATCGTACAGTAAAGGTGTGGGATCTGACTGGGGGTAAGGAGAGTCAGACACTAGGAGGTCATCCCAACAATGTGGTGACTGTCAAGTATGACCAAGAGACTAGACTATTGTATAGTGTGTCCGAAGCTTATGTCCTGATAACTGTATGTGTTGTGTTAACAGATCGTACAGTAAAGGTGTGGGATCTGACTGAGGGTAAGGAGAGTCAGACACTAGGAGGTCATCCCTACAATGTGGTCACTGTCAAATATGACCAAGAGACCAGACTATTGTACAGTGTCTCCACAGCTTATGTCCTGATAACTGTATGTGTTGTGTTAACAGATCGTACAGTAAAGGTGTGGGATCTGACTGAGGGTAAGGAGAGTCAGACACTAGGAGGTCATCCCAACAATGTGGTGACTGTCAAGTATGACCAAGAGACCAGACTATTGTACAGTGTCTCCACAGCTTATGTCCTGATAACTGTATGTGTTGTGTTAACAGATCGTACAGTAAAGGTGTGGGATCTGACTGAGGGTAAGGAGAGTCAGACACTAGGAGGTCATCCCTACAATGTGGTCACTGTCAAATATGACCAAGAGACCAGACTATTGTACAGTGTCTCCACAGCTTATGTCCTGATAACTGTATGTGTTGTGTTAACAGATCGTACAGTGAAGGTGTGGGATCTGACTGAGGGTAAGGAGAGTCAGACACTAGGAGGTCATCCCTACAATGTGGTCACTGTCAAATATGACCAAGAGACCAGACTATTGTACAGTGTCTCCACAGCTTATGTCCTGATAACTGTATGTGTTGTGTTAACAGATCGTACAGTGAAGGTGTGGGATCTGACTGAGGGTAAGGAGAGTCAGACACTAGGAGGTCATCCCAACAATGTGGTGACTGTCAAGTATGACCAAGAGACCAGACTATTGTACAGTGTCTCCACAGCTTATGTCCTGATAACTGTATGTGTTGTGTTAACAGATCGTACAGTGAAGATGTGGGATCTGACTGAAGGTAAGGAGAGTCAGACACTAGGAGGTCATCCCAACAATGTGGTCACTGTCAAGTATGACCAAGAGACCAGACTATTGTACAGTGTCTCCACAGCTTATGTCCTGATAACTGTATGTGTTGTGTTGACAGATCGTACAGTAAAGGTGTGGGATCTGACTGAGGGTAAGGAGAGTCAGACACTAGGAGGTCATCCCAACAATGTGGTGACTGTCAAATATGACCAAGAGACCAGACTATTGTATAGTGTGTCCACAGCTTATGTCCTGATAACTGTATGTGTTGTGTTAACAGATCGTACAGTAAAGGTGTGGGACCTGACTGAGGGTAAGTAGAGTCAGACACTAGGAGGTCATCCCAACAATGTGGTCACTGTCAAGTATGACCAAGAGACCAGACTATTGTACAGTGTCTCCACAGCTTAGGTCCTGATAACTGTATGTGTTGTGTTAACAGATCGTACAGTAAAGGTGTGGGATCTGACTGAGGGTAAGGAGAGTCAGACACTAGGAGGTCATCCCAACAATGTGGTCACTGTCAAATATGACCAAGAGACCAGACTATTGTACAGTGTCTCCACAGCTTATGTCCTGATAACTGTATGTGTTGTGTTGACAGATCGTACAGTAAAGGTGTGGGATCTGACTGAGGGTAAGGAGAGTCAGACACTAGGAGGTCATCCCAACAATGTGGTGACTGTCAAATATGACCAAGAGACCAGACTATTGTATAGTGTGTCCACAGCTTATGTCCTGATAACTGTATGTGTTGTGTTAACAGATCGTACAGTAAAGGTGTGGGACCTGACTGAGGGTAAGGAGAGTCAGACACTAGGAGGTCATCCCAACAATGTGGTCACTGTCAAATATGACCAAGAGACCAGAGTATTGTACAGTGTCTCCACAGCTTATGTCCTGATAACTGTATGTGTTGTGTTAACAGATCGTACAGTAAAGGTGTGGGACCTGACTGAGGGTAAGGAGAGTCAGACACTAGGAGGTCATCCCAACAATGTGGTCACTGTCAAGTATGACCAAGAGACCAAACTATTGTACAGTGTCTCCACAGCTTATGTCCTGATAACTGTATGTGTTGTGTTAACAGATCGTACAGTAAAGGTGTGGGACCTGACTGAGGGTAAGGAGAGTCAGACACTAGGAGGTCATCCCAACAATGTGGTGACTGTCAAATATGACCAAGAGACCAGACTATTGTACAGTGTCTCCACAGCTTATGTCCTGATAACTGTATGTGTTGTGTTGACAGATCGTACAGTAAAGGTGTGGGATCTGACTGAGGGTAAGGAGAGTCAGACACTAGGAGGTCATCCCAACAATGTGGTGACTGTCAAATATGACCAAGAGACCAGACTATTGTACAGTGTCTCCACAGCTTATGTCCTGATAACTGTATGTGTTGTGTTAACAGATCGTACAGTAAAGGTGTGGGACCTGACTGAGGGTAAGGAGAGTCAGACACTAGGAGGTCATCCCAACAATGTGGTGACTGTCAAGTATGACCAAGAGACCAGACTATTGTACAGTGTCTCCACAGCTTATGTCCTGATAACTGTATGTGTTGTGTTAACAGATCGTACAGTAAAGGTGTGGGATCTGACTGAGGGTAAGGAGAGTCAGACACTAGGAGGTCATCCCAACAATGTGGTCACTGTCAAGTATGACCAAGAGACCAGACTATTGTACAGTGTCTCCACAGCTTATGTCCTGATAACTGTATGTGTTGTGTTAACAGATCGTACAGTAAAGGTGTGGGATCTGACTGAGGGTAAGGAGAGTCAGACACTAGGAGGTCATCCCAACAATGTGGTGACTGTCAAGTATGACCAAGAGACCAGACTATTGTACAGTGTCTCCACAGCTTATGTCCTGATAACTGTATGTGTTGTGTTAACAGATCGTACAGTAAAGGTGTGGGATCTGACTGAGGGTAAGGAGAGTCAGACACTAGGAGGTCATCCCAACAATGTGGTGACTGTCAAGTATGACCAAGAGACCAGACTATTGTATAGTGTGTCCACAGCTTATGTCCTGATAACTGTATGTGTTGTGTTAACAGATCGTACAGTAAAGGTGTGGGACCTGACTGAGGGTAAGGAGAGTCAGACACTAGGAGGTCATCCCAACAATGTGGTGACTGTCAAGTATGACCAAGAGACCAGACTATTGTACAGTGTCTCCACAGCTTATGTCCTGATAACTGTATGTGTTGTGTTAACAGATCGTACAGTAAAGGTGTGGGACCTGACTGAGGGTAAGGAGAGTCAGACACTAGGAGGTCATCCCTACAATGTGGTCACTGTCAAATATGACCAAGAGACCAGACTATTGTATAGTGTCTCCACAGCTTATGTCCTGATAACTGTATGTGTTGTGTTAACAGATCGTACAGTAAAGGTGTGGGATCTGACTGAGGGTAAGGAGAGTCAGACACTAGGAGGTCATCCCAACAATGTGGTGACTGTCAAGTATGACCAAGAGACCAGACTATTGTACAGTGTCTCCACAGCTTATGTCCTGATAACTGTATGTGTTGTGTTAACAGATCGTACAGTAAAGGTGTGGGATCTGACTGAGGGTAAGGAGAGTCAGACACTAGGAGGTCATCCCTACAATGTGGTGACTGTCAAGTATGACCAAGAGACCAGACTATTGTACAGTGTCTCCACAGCTTATGTCCTGATAACTGTATGTGTTGTGTTAACAGATCGTACAGTAAAGGTGTGGGATCTGACTGAGGGTAAGGAGAGTCAGACACTAGGAGGTCATCCCTACAATGTGGTCACTGTCAAATATGACCAAGAGACCAGACTATTGTACAGTGTCTCCACAGCTTATGTCCTGATAACTGTATGTGTTGTGTTAACAGATCGTACAGTAAAGGTGTGGGATCTGACTGAGGGTAAGGAGAGTCAGACACTAGGAGGTCATCCCAACAATGTGGTGACTGTCAAGTATGACCAAGAGACCAGACTATTGTATAGTGTCTCCACAGCTTATGTCCTGATAACTGTATGTGTTGTGTTAACAGATCCTACAGTAAAGGTGTGGGATCTGACTGAGGGTAAGGAGAGTCAGACACTAGGAGGTCATCCCTACAATGTGGTCACTGTCAAATATGACCAAGAGACCAGACTATTGTATAGTGTGTCCACAGCTTATGTCCTGATAACTGTATGTGTTGTGTTAACAGATCGTACAGTAAAGGTGTGGGATCTGACTGAGGGTAAGGAGAGTCAGACACTAGGAGGTCATCCCAACAATGTGGTGACTGTCAAGTATGACCAAGAGACCAGACTATTGTACAGTGTCTCCACAGCTTATGTCAGGGTGTGGGACTTGAGGACAGCCAAGTGCATAAGGACACTCTGGTGAGTCTCATTATTTGTGAAGTTTTTTGGTAGAGGTCACGGTGATATTGAAAAAGTCTTATGCAGGTCAGAGTCATCGTGAAAGTTGCAATAGCTGTGATATCGTAAAAGTCTTCTGTGGTCACTGTGATATAGTGGCAATCTCTGTGGTCGCAAAGAGATTGTGAAGGTCTTCTGCGGTTGCAGTGAGATCATGAAAGTCTTCCGCAGTCACAGTAAGATTGTGAAATACTTCCGCAGTTGTGGCAAGATTGTGACAGTCTTCTGCAGTCGTTGTTATATCGCTGAAGTCTTCCGTGCCCGCGGTGAGGTTGTGAAAGTGTACCACAGTCGGGGTCAGAAGACTGATCTCTTGATTTACAATGTATGTCTTTTTCACATCTTTTTCAAATGTGCTACTATTTTATGCGGAAAAGCACAATGTCAACAGTTTTCCCCTCTTAACTTTCTTAATCAAAAATTTTTAACCTAGGTCCTTAAAAAAATAACAGTAGAGCTATAAACATATGTTGTTGAGAATATCCTTCACAGTTGTTCTAACTGTAATATGAATTGTAGCTCGTCTGGGTCCAGCACCAACGGTATCATCAGTGGACAGCAGATTCCTAGCGGAGAGGCTCAGATGAATGATATCGCGCTCAACCACAATGGTCGCATACTCTACACAGCTGCATCTGACCGGGTCCGTGTCTGGGATGTCAGAAAGTCAGTATACAATTCAATTCAATTTCTACTATAGTAAACAATGTTACAATGTTACAATGAATGTTACAACAACTCAAACATCTCAAAATGTCTCACAAACCTAACAATGAATTTGTACAATCATTGACTGCCTACTGAACTAGACATTCCATCAATATGTACCAGCTGTAGACAATTTTGTATTAAAAATGAATTTAGTTAAATGAACCACTCGCATATCGTGCTACAGTCTAAAACTACAATTTCTTCCTTTACCATGATAGTTAATGAGACAAAAAGTAAAAATTTATAGCTTACAATAAATTTCCCTTATAATTGGTGCATCGCACAGTAATTTTTATTTACTGGGGATAGCTCAGTAATTAATCGATGCTCATTCTTAATCTTAAGATTGCCACAACATTAAGATTAGAATGGAATGTCTGTTCTATAGGTAAAGCTATTTTTTTCACATCTATTTAGTTTTTTGTGTATTTAAGTTGTTGTTGTATTGCGTTTCACACCATACATTTATCAAGCATTATTTTTAGCCACCGTATCGAAATAGTAAATACTGTTATTCTAAAAGCCCTTGTAATCTTGAAATGTATTCCTCTGGTAATTTAATTTTTAAATTACAAACAACTGTAGGTTATATATCTCTATACTCTATATATAAATGTGAAATTCCAATCAATGCACAGGCCAAACCATAGCAACTAGAAGAATGAGATTTTGCATACATATTCAATATAGAATATGTATGCAAAGGAGTAAGAAGCAATTTTGTAAGAAGCAATTTTTGGGGTTTTTTTTGTTTACTGTCTGAAATTTAAATTATCAGCTGTTATGATAAAAATTAAGTTTAAAAAGGTTATTTCAGAGGGTCTGACTTAGGGGAGGTATGATTGAGGCATTAGTTCAAAATTCCTCCGTGAACAGCGCTGCAGTAGAGAGCATTTTGCCAATGAAGGTTTACTAATCTCAAAAATAGTTCTGTTCATAAAATAAAATTATAAATGCCTCAAATTCAATTTTATAATTTTTGTATTATAAAATTACTATCATAACCTAACCGAACTAACCAAACTTGCTGATAATGAAACAATATAAAAAAAGTTTATTAATAGAAAAAATAATTCTGTTCATTAAATAAAACTAGTAATTGCTCAATTAAAATTTTATAAGAACTTAATAATAAAATTAAACTGTCATAACCGAACCAAACCAACCAAACTTGCTGATAATGAAAAAATCTTTGTCAAAAAGTTAGTGCCACCAGCGGGATTCAAACCCGGGACTCTTAGCATATCAGCCCGGCACGCTAACCACTATACCACTGAGGCCTATGGCTGCAAACCGTATTGTTACGGTAATGGTGTTCCCTCAGCTAATGAGAAGCCCACAGCTGTCATCGTAAGCTCATCTATACCTCCCCTGAGTAAATACCTATTTCAGACCATATAAACATCAAAGTTGTGTGTCAATAACCTAATTTATTGTGGCATTTTAGTTTTATCAACTTTTCTACTATGTGTGATTAGTGTTTAAGAAAGTAGAATTGAACTTAGTTTTTTATTGCATTTTAATTTTTAAGAACTTATGATATAGTTCTGTTAATATTTTTGTAGTTGTTTAAACCGTTTCATAGTATGGACACTGAGGCTTTAAATGTTAATGGCAAGTTTATTCCACACAATATCATTCACATCAGAGGAGATTGTGTGTTTTTATTTACTTCACTCTGATTCTTAATTCACCTTACACACACTAACTGTGCGCAAAGCAATTATTGAACGTGTTGTGAGGAACTGGGACTACTTCTCAAACTTATCCCATGACAGTGACGGAATAATTACCTCAATTCGAGGGAATACTTCTTTGAAATGTCTAACCCGTTTACCTTTGGTGGGTTGTGTGACCTGGTTGCAGCTTCACACTATTCGCATGTTTTCTAGGTTTATCGGAATGGTTAATTATATATCAAGTTTGGTGATGGACGTAATCCCGTGAAAAGACTCAGATTTACACAATCCCTGTCTAGTGGGCAATTTGACGTTTATCTTCACAAAAATGTAATTGAGGCCATAGTGATCACCAAATGTTCCTGAGGAGAATCGGTTTTTATACCACGACTTCCCCTGGCTTCTACGGACTACCCGTTTGATTTTAAAAGGTTGCAATTCCCTTTGAAAGTGTGCTTCGCCCTCACCATCAACAAAGCGCAGGGACAGTCACTTAAGATCGCAGGACTAGACTTGAGAGAGGATTGTTTTTCTCATTGATAATTTTATGTTCCATGTTCATGGGTCAGTTCAGCCACAAGTCTGGTGATGCTAGAACCTTCTGGGGGGAAAAAATGTTGATTAAAAGTTTTACTTTTAACCAATTTGAAAGTTTCTGTAGCGAAGCATGGGTATTTTGCTAGTATATCCCCAAGGCAGATGTATCCATAATGCGGATGTAGAAGTTTTTTTCCTATCAAATAGAATTCATTTTTTTGTTTAGGCCTATCTATAAGCCCCTGTACATTAAATGTTCATGTTAATTTTATCAGGTACTGGTCTGAACACCATCCCTTTCACAAAACATCCTTAAACAATTTTCTTTTTGTTCATCAATATTCTATTTTCTACTAACAACTATGCTCAGTTATAGACATTTCAATGTGATGTATTGTGTTTATGTAGGTTTGCCGTGACGGGGAAGCTCAGTGGAGGTCACCAAGCGGCCGTCATGTGTCTTGCCGTGGGTAAACTGAGCGCTCACGAGGACATTGTTGTCACTGGGTCTAAAGATCACTACATCAAAGTAAGAAACTACATTAACTCAGCATAACGTTTAGATTAATCGAGTCAACTTTGCAAAAAAAATATATAACTCCCTCTGAGAAAAGTCTAAACTTAAAAATTAACTAAGCGAGCATTCATAGTGATCACACAGATTATTGTGATTTGAGGTGTTACAGCTGAGGGAGACAGACACTATTTGTCTTATCCTTAATATGTGTATACTACACCAGTGAAACTGCTGCACCTTCTATTAAATATAATATGTTTTGCCACGAGGCAGGGTGTCCACATTCTGGAAAGTCAGGGATAGTCATGGAAAGTCATGGAAAAAAATTCTGGTCATTGAAAGTCATGGAAATAGGCAAAAGGTCATGGAAAGTCATGGAAATCTCCAATGATGAATGGATTTCAGGGGTCCTGTCAATGATCTAGTTGGCCGTAACCCCGACTATTGTAGCATTTTTCCGAATTTTTCACAAATGTACGACAATTCAAGTTATACAGTTGTCTTAGTTTATGGGTTTTAAGTTTGTATTTAGTTCGTTGTTGTACCTGTTGTACGCCATTGTTATCTGTTAAAATACATATTTCAGTATTTTCAACGGTATATTATAATTTTTGAGTAAAGTTCGTGAGTCATGGAAATCAATGGTTAATGGTCATGGATAGTCATGGAAAGTCAGGGAAATTAATGACAAAATATCTGTGGACACCCTGCGAGGTAAAGAAGTATGTGTTAAGTATAGTTTGGGGATTTTAGCGAGTAGGTCTACTCTTAACATCTGGGTTTAGTGGGTTAGTCAACCCCCCACTTGTTTGATACTTTTGTGTACTTTTTGTGTGATACTTCTTTTATAGAACAGATTGTAAATAAATACTACTGGTAAAAAACAAAAAAAATTATTTATAAATCCAAAACATTACAATTTAGAAAAAAACATGAATTTAGTGTCGCCTTGTTCTTTGAATGACAACAGCGTCTCTTCTTGTGGTATCCAAAAGTGGGTCATATTCGTCTTCTTCTGGGGGAGGTGGGGGGTCTCGTCGGGACAATATGTAGTACACCACCACCCCCCCGATGGCAGCAGTGGCCAGGCCGATAGCAATTTCAATTACATGCTCACTGCAACAAAACAAAAATCATCAAAAGGTTCATCTTAGACTAATAAAGCATTTCAAAAATAAAAAAAGGATAAATTGTCTGTTACATGTCAATAACTAACATTATTGTTACAAATTATATGTTAGTTCCACACAGCACAGTAATTAATTAAACCAAAGTCTTTTAAATTGTGGGTATGAAACCAAAGTCTATTAAATTCAATTCGTAACACACTCCCCACCTTTGTAAATTGAGGAGTTCGACAACAAATTTACAAACACTTCATTCATAACATCAGAAAACGTAAATACTTGAACAGTACAACAATTTGTATAAAACCATTCGTAAGTTCATTCTTGTTATCACTGTAATAAGTCATGGGACGGCTGTTCATAAGACAGTCACACTCACATACTAACGTCATCAGTTCTTTGTAACACAGTGATGCTCGTCCTAAAGTTTTCTCAAAAAGGTCCTTTAACACATGTATTAACCGCTCCCAATATCCTCCCCACCATGGTGCAGCGGGAGCATTAAATTTCCTCTTTATTCGTTGAATACTGCATTCCCCTAAGTTGTAAAAATTGTAAAGTTAAACAGCTTACCTTGCCCATTTTAGTATGATATGAATCATTCTTGCAGAGTTTGTTTGTTTTCGGTTTATTGAGTTTTCCTTGAAGTCCCAATTCCTTCTTGTTTCTTCACTACGGATATACTTTCTTCTCAAGCTACTTGTGTTTTTACGTAGGTTTTTTCCCCCTTTAGTTCTCCTTTCTTCACTAAGGATATACTTTCTTCTCAAGCTACTTGTGTTTTTACGTAGGTTTTTTTCCCCTTTAGTTCTCCTTTCTTCACTAAGGATATACTTTCTTTTCAAGCTACTTGTGTTTTTACTTAGTTTTCCCCTTTAGTTTTCCAACCACTAATGGTTTCTTACCAGGAAAATAAGTTTTTTGTTTGTTTAAGAATTAAGCTACCTTAATATCTGTGAGCACAATGAAAGAGTTAAAATTCTTAGGTATCTATGGATACATATTGATCATTTCACTTTGTAAACAAAATAATACAATTGAAATATAAAAAACAAATAAAATTGCATAACAAAAAAGTACATGCCGTTTGACATGTACATAATTTAACACTATTTATACTAGTTTTAAGATAGGGCTCTAAAAACCTTTCCTCGACAATTGGGAAAAGTGGAACTTTGTTTGTGCTAAAAATAATAGATTAAAGTATTTTCAGTTGTACTGCTTGAAGGGTCAGATGAAGTCGCTGTTGCAGATATTTTCGTTAAGCGGCCCCAAATAGGAGCACTAGTCTTTTTGCCGGTTACTGTTTCCTCACTACTTGACATTAGTAGTTTCTTCAGGCTCAATTTAGACATCCACATTAAACAATATAGGTAGAAAACGGAACAAAGTAAAATTTAAAATTTAACTAATATTAAATCAATTAAATCAAACTATTCACTTTGTTGGGAGCATAACCCTTAACTACTAACCATTTGACCGTCTGCTGACGTTGAATGGAGTAATTAAAGTAAGTAGTTTTTAATCTAAAATGCAAAGAGAAAGAAATGGTACTTCATAATCATGTTACTTTCCGTTTACGGGATCGAGATTTAAATTAATTATTAAATTGAATAATTGTAATACATAAATAAAACATCCCATAGCAGATTGTAGATCCTTTTGGAACAGCTGAAGCCACTTTTATTGTTAGTTCTGTCCGGTGCACTGTAGAGGTTGTGTTTTAAAGCCTTGTTTAACCAGATAAAACAATCTAATCGTAAAATATAACTCATCCTCTAGTTGCATAACCAAACAGTAAAGCACAAATCATGAAATTAACACTAAATAATATAAACATAATTTCGTCGGCACTAGCAATCAGTGCCACCGGACATGGACTAGACACAAAAAAGCTTCAAAATTTACAATGGGATGAGATGGTAATACATCAAATAATATAGTTTAACCCTGAGCCTTAAAAAAATCCTCTCTCAATACAAGTTTTGTAACGTTTTATCATTCATCGTTAGCTTTGCGACAGAAAAAATTTAAGAAACTTTCAGAGAAATATGGGTTAGAGTAATGCCTTCACAAATCTAATCAACGCATTCAAAGAAGTAAACCCATTAAATTTGGCTTCAAGTTATGTTTCATAACGTAATTTTGGCACAGATCATATTGATACTAGATACGGAAACTTGTTATTGTTGTTGTATTTAATATTTGAAAAATTAATAAACATATTTCATTTAGGTAATCTACACAAACTTGTTTTTTAATACATTTAAGTTGGTACTCACCTCGGCCTTCATGTTCTAGTTCAGGTTTTATGTCGTGAAAGTCGTCTGTACTTGTAGCAGTTCTGGAAGCTGCAATACGTTCCCAACTGAAGTTTGGCCTTTTATGACGATAAATGTGTAGTTAAGTGGAGAAATAGGGAAAATAAAACACTTCACTTTACTTTCAAACTATTTATTTCAGTATGCAATTGCTAACAAAGTAGGCCTAGCAATTCCTAGGTTATACCGTGTTATTTACAACAAATTAAAATTTTCCGTCTCGATAATTTCCCTATCAAAATAAAATATTGTCTCGTAGAACAAGATTTAAAATTTCTCTAAATTTCAAGACCCGTCCATTTGTACAGAATATTCTTTTTTTAATGAAACTATTTTAAACCTTTCCATTCTTTATCATAAAAGTGCAATGTATCTGTGTAAACCTGTTTATATTTATTCTATACTTACTGAAGTGCGGTAATTCATATTGTACCTCTTTGAAAAAGTTACCCCTGAGAGTGATTTCACTACACTCCAGCTGATTTCACAGATCCCTTTCTGTAAATAACAACATTCTGGAGTAAAAAGAGTACAGAAACTAATTTCTTACTAAGTAGTGTGTACTTGTGTTGTCAGGTGTTTGAGGTGGCGGGAGAGGAAGGGGGAACGTTTTCACCCAGAGTGAACCTGGAGCCCCCGCACTACGACGGGATACAGTCACTGGCCATCCGAGGACACGAACTCTTCTCTGGCTCTAGAGACTCCATCATCAAGAAGTGGGATTTGGACAAGCAGGAGCTCATCACGGTGAGCATAATTGTGTTAACAAAAAAAGTCTTTAAATCAATCTTGAGAATAATTTGTTTGATTTGGTTTGAAACTGGGTCAAATTGTCTTTTAACATTTTTGTTTTGATGTACTAGCTAAAGAAACAACTACTACTTTGTAACAAAGCTAGATAGATCATTGACTCTATTTTACATAGTCATCTTGCATTCCTATTCAGATCTAGTCTACTGTACTTGTACTGACTCTTAAATCAATATAGAATGCTTATCTATTGTCTATTTAACAAGATGAGGGGGGGAACACGATACAAATGTTTAGTTCAATCCATGAATAAACACTGGAGCTCAAGGGGTTAACAGTTTATTGAATTTTTCTTGCATGTAGAAGGGCAAAAAAAGACTGCCAACATATATTTTTAAAAGTAAAATAAAAAAAAAATAAAAATCCATATTGAGTGGGTGATATTGTTACTCTTTTTTGTACAGTAGCTCCCATAAACTAACTTTTTTATTTGTAATCATTCTGTGTAGTTTTTCATTATCACAAATACAACCAATGACTTTAAATTTATCAAACAAGTCATTGCCTTCTAAAATATTTCATTCTTTTCACAGAGTGTAAGCAATGCACACAAGGACTGGGTGTGCGGCCTGGCCTACATCCCCGGTCAGCCGTTGTTGGTGTCCGTATGTAGAGGAGGAGTACTCAAACTGTGGAGCAGCGACAACTGTCAACTACTCGGAGAGATGAAGGCTCACGACTCACCCATCAATGCCATCACCACCAACAACTCACATTTGTTCACAGCGGCCAAGTAAGTGTGATGTTTATTTATTTCAAAATTGTGGTTTTTGTAAGTTATTTTGACTACAGTTGTTTTTGAAAGACTGGTGAAAGTCATGGGTGTAATATTATCAAGTAGAAACATTTAATTACTAATCTTGAACTAAAACTAACAATACTTTGTTTATTTCTAAAACAGCAGATTTTTTATTGTGTGTTTAGTAATTTACACGGTTTAACTTACATGTTACGTTCCTATCGAGTTAACCTTCCTTGGGTAGTGAAGAAAAATGCTGGACTCTAACTGGTCAGTGTGCCCAATGTGACTACAGCCTTCCCTTAGGCAATACTTTGACAACCCTTCCAGTTTTTGTGTGAATAGTAACTTGACAAAATAAGGTGGCAACCTCATATACACTCCAGGCAGTAATCTTTATGCTATTGGATTCCATAATATATTTTGTGCTTGGATGATAATTACTAGCCTGCCACAATCAATAACACTAACAATGCCAACTAGATCTAGGTATGACCGCCTCACAGACAGAAACCTATTACTGTCGCTGATGAAGTGGTTTTTGCCCTGGTGAACTGCTCTGAAAATGGCTGGGTACCAGAATGTCACCACTCAGTTATAAGTTTATGTCTGTGATTCAGTCGTATCCAAAGTACCTGGTTTGTAATTAAATATATAGGCGACCTGTGTTACTGTTTCATTGTTCCTTTATAGTTTGGTTCAAACACCAGTACACTTGTTACGCGCTACAAAAATGACCACATTTCCTGACCTAATGATGAGTTTTTCTTTTCACAACCTGAAGCAGGTTTAGTTGAAAAAAAAAAACTAAATAAAACTACAGAGAATTCAATAGTATCAAAGGTCATTTAAACTCTTAGATCTTTGTTCTCAATTGATTATTGGTGAGTTGGTCAACGGATGAAACACAAAAGCCTGGTTTACTTTAATGTTCTCCCTCCTACTATAAGTTAGACTAACCAAAAGTTAATTCAATTTAGATTTAAAACTGAAAATACCTCCAAGCTTTGTAAATATGTTCAACTACTGTCTTCTACTTTCTTTCTCGTAGTTGCATTGAAACCATATAGCTCAAAATTCCTATTAAATAACTTTACTCAGTTAAATCTGAATAACATTTTCAAAGCCACCGCGATGTAGACAATCACCTTAGTAAGTTTGCACCGAGTATGAGTGGGAGTGAAGTCGAGGTAGGTTTGTGTTCTTGCAGTTGTGGCGAGGTGAAGATCTGGAGAGCCCCGCAGCTGCCCAACAACAATCCGATGACAATGTCTACAGGCCGGGTCTTTCAACTGTCCGTCTGAATTGCTTTTGTTTCTGTTACAGTAGAATATGGAAGTGCAAAAAAGGATTTTGTTCTTTTTGTCTGGTAATGGTTCTTTGTTAAACTGTATTTTTTGCTCTAAAAACTCCTGATCTGTTAAAAACGAGATACTGGTACGGAAGAGACTCAATTATCCAAACTCCATTTATCTGCCTACAGACAATTGAATACTAACTAGTGTCCCTGTTGCTCGAATTCGAGCAATCGCTATGTATTACAGGCATTATTTTAAAACGAATTTCAACCAAGTCAGCAAATGTTTGTAGCAAACTGTTAATTTAGCAAACTTATTGACTGTTTACAATTAACATATGATCTTCTTACTTTTGATTTCTGACAACAGCTAGAGTTTCATAACAATTTTTGTTTACAATGTTAATCTTATGGAGAAATACAAAACTTTAAGGGGCTCCAGGGCCTCACTCTCTCATTATTTCCTTAAAAAGAAAGTTTCCTGCAAAATTTCACGTTACGCTCATTCCAATGACACCAAAAACATGACAATCGGTTCAGTAGTTTCGGAGGAGTAATTGTCACAAAAAATCTGCTTGCGTATTAAATAAGTAAATATATATATATAGATTCCTAATGGTATTGATTGACTATACTGCACTGTGTATGTCAAGACAGTAAAATATAGTTATACTCCGATGATACATGCCATACTTTAGGTATATGCACTTGACTGTACTTGCTGATTATTTTCACACGCTTTATAACAAAAAGTTCTTCAACTTTTCATACTGTATCCATTCTACAAAAACAAAAATCTTGTTTACCAGGTCAAGAAAAGCCCTGTCTCATCCCACTTTTGAAAAATGAAAAAAAAAACTTGTTTCATTCCGCAATAGTTATCTCATACAATTTCTAGCTATCTATTTGACATATTATGTTTAAGTAGTCGTTTAAGCCTTGTTATTACATTTTGATACAATTTAATATACTGGTTTTCATTTTTATTTGAAAATCAGTATAAACAAGCAAAACAGATGTCAGAGCCAAAAACATCTTTCTATGCCGCACATGGTCTAAAAATACTGTTTTCGGGATAAAAGTCTTGCACATGGAAACGCTGACACCACACATCAGTTTGCCCTACCCTTCTAGTTCTAGTGTGAATGAAGATCTGTGGTGAAGGAGTATCCATTTACCTTGAATTTAGAGTTACGGTATTGGTTTTTTCCCCTTTTTTAGTAATTTCTTTGTTATTTGAGAATATTGTTTCAATGGAAAACATACTCAAAGCCATGAATAGGTTGAACAGGAATAGGAGAAAGTTTATTAAACTGATTATTTTAAATATGTTCACAGGTTTTTACATTATTTTCGTCATTTGTCTTTGCTCTGTTAAGACGGTTAATTGAGGCTCTACTGTACTACTTTTTTTTATCAGAGATATTCCTACTTTTACAATCTTGGAAGCATAATATCATTTTAACCCTTTAAAGTGCAACATCTTTTTTACAAGTGTCTTATATTTCACGTAATAGTATTTTAAGACGTTTTAAAAATCATTGTATAAATTTGGATATATATGTTGTTAAAACTGCTGGTTGTTGAACAAATATTTTTATGATTAATTGGCATTTATTTGGAAAATCTTTTCTCAGAAAATCCACTGATTACAAAAAAAAACTGTTTTTATCGGCGAGTTTATGAATGTAAGTAAATTAAAGTAGTCTTTTTGGAAATTACATTCGCTAGCGTTAATTCAAGCAATAAATATATTATGGAAAGTATATTTACATTCCTTACTACATTAATGATGCATCTAATACAATTTCATGATGTAGAACATTTATTTTTGTAAATGTTTTATGCTAAATAATAGTTCCTGTTGCTAGTTTTACTAAATGTAAATGTCTGTAAACTAATGCTTGTCGAGGCAGATTATACTGTTGCAAATACTAGTCATTGTTTTGTATAAATAAAAATATAGTATAGTCATAGCTAAGAGTTATCATATTTTTACACTTGTGTATTGTTCTTGTTAAGTATTGGTGCTGTTTGAAAGTAACTAAGTGTGAGTAGTATTGATTGGTTATAAATTATAATCAAAATGAAAAAAGTTTAGGGAATCAAAATATGAAATCAAAGTTGATAAAGTTTTACCATAATGTGTATCTCCCAAAAATAAAATTACTTGTTTATATAGATTAGCTGAGAACTGTGCATTCAACTGAGTTCAAAATAATTTGACTGTTTACAGAATTATCTCAATTTTCCCTCAAATAAAAGCAAAGTTTTGTCTGTAAAGATTTGCATCATGTGAACTTGTATCATCTTTCCTAGCCCTCTAGGTGCTCATAAAAAATCTCAAATGTCACGCCATTTTGGCAGTTTTGCCGACATTTACAAAAACCGCTCTAACAAAATTTTAAAATGACCTACACTTAAAAAACTATATTAAAGTAGATAAAATGGGCTATCTCAAAACATAAAAATTTTTAATTTTCTGTTAGGTTCAGTAGGTGTAGGCTATATGTTTAAATACAAACGATATCGAATCAAACTTATTTTTAAGGTTACGAAACCCGATTAAGTATATTTAGGCACTATAATAAAAAATTCAAGGTGTAAAATATGTAATAGTAAATTAAATTCCTATTAAGAATTTAATAAGATGTTTATGACGAGAAATACCAAAACATGACATCATGAGTTTTTACTCTAACTCCATAAAGATACTTGTAAAATTGACTGACGGACATAACCACACCTTATTACTCATATTTGACATTAAAAAACTCGATGAAATATACTATTTAACTTTTAAAAATACCTCCTAATAGTAATAAAAAAAATTTGGAACAATTCTAACCTTAAAATCGTCAGTTTCTATAACTTAAACATCAGAAACCTCAAAGCAGACAGCAAAGGTGATGAATTCAAAATTGACCATATGTTTGCTTCATAACAAAAAGTGAAAATAAAATATCAGAAACTAGACATTGAATTCAAGCTTAGAATCTGCTCTTTCTGTAGACACCAAATTAAATCCAGTTCAGTCAACTGGAGTTAATTTTTTTTTTTTTGAGATTGGCGGCCTCTTTTAACCTTGCATTTGCCCGTCCACATAGACTAACCGCCCGTGCGTGGAACGTTTATAGCAAAGCAAGGAGTGAGCCGGTACAGTACAAAGGTGAACTGTACTGATAAATTTTAGTGGCAGTGACCAGGATCCGAACCCACGATATCGCTGCCTTGGGCCCGAAGTCCGCGACGCTACCGACTGAGCAACCAACTCACTAAAGAGCATTCAGACCTCATTCAGACGAGTTTCGTAGTGTCTGCAACATAGTCGGAATTCTGACGAATGACACTTGCGGTCCAGATAAAATCATCTGAATTCAGATGATTGACACTCTGAGGGCTAGTTACACTTTTAATTTTAACTCTTAAATTATTTGATGATCTTCTTTAAACCACTATTCTTCTTTCTGGCCTTCCTATTTTCTCAACCTAATATTTCTTGGTTCGTTTAAATACACATTTATATTCTTCCTTTAAGATTGCTTTTCTTTTACTCTGTCCATTTTCTTTCATTTCTTTCTTCGTTTCTTTCATTTTTACTCTTTCCATTTTGCCCTTCAAAGTTTTAAATGTTAGACTATCTGACGCTCTTATTATTTTCTAAAACTCCTCTTATGTCAGCTATTATTTTGATTATTTGTTTCCTTAATTTTCCATTGTTAAATCAGTACATTGGCTATAGTTCGGCCGCTTAGAAATCGACCTGCGCGCTAATGCTAAACCAATGCTGGAGTAGGTCGTTTTCTAAGCGGCCGAACTATAGTTAATCTTTTAAACTTTTAAATATCTCTCATTTTTGTTAACAGTTCTTAAAAATGTATTTCTCTCTGAAAAAATTTCTCCATAACTTTTCCAATTTAATCGCTTGATAAACTGCTCAGTGAAAAAAGTTAAATCACCCCTGCATGAAAAAATAGAAAGTGACATTTCATCTTTTAATAAATACATTTTCTCATAATAATTTTAGCTCACTGATTTCATAATATCCTAACCTTGAAAATTTGTAATGATTGTCATTCTTGTTAACTTTTTCAGGTTGTAGTATAGGCCTACGATTAATTTATTTGTAACTGTTTATATATTAGTAAAATATACAAATATATATTACATGAATGTGTTTGATTTGTTTCACTACCTACTCTAACGCTCAGTGGAACCTTACTAAGGTATTGTTGTTGTTGTTGCTTTAAATGTTATGCAGATATTAATCCACTCACGATACCCTTGTAAGATATTTTTCTAGTCAGTAATTTATACCTTGTTTAATTTAAATTTAATAAGGTTTATTTGTATTAGTAGTTGCAATTTCAATTTGAATCCTCAGATGAAAGCATAAGTGCAATTCCAAATGTGTTACTGAAAATCTACATAGGCCTACAATGTTGAAGTTGAATAGGCACAGCCAACTCCCTCTTGCCCGTGTTTGAACCGAAAAAACTCTGAACAAATAAAAAAGTAAATGGATAGTTTTAAAGCACAAATTATGCCTACATTACCACATTACTGAAACATGAAGCACAAACAGTTAAAAAATCTACAGCACTAAACAAACATGACGTACCTTGTTGGAAATATAGAACTTGTGTGCAAATGTTTTAGTCGTGATGGTCTTCTCAATAATACAAAGTCAAAACTAAAGAGATTCAAATTAGACGGAGTTTACTGTAGACTAATATATATTTCTTTAGCAATACCACCTACAGACAACCACTGATCCACTAGATGCATGTTTGCTTTATTGGCCAAGCTTGTATCATAGTCTCACATTTTCTCACTGCTTTATAGGTACAATAGGTACAAATTAGGTAGTTAATTTATTCCTCAAACACTTTATCAATGTTCTTCCATTTCCTCTTTGGTACCGGTACTTTCATTATTAGGTAAAGAAAAATGTAATATGAAGACACATGCTTTAAAATAAGAATTTATCAAAGCTAACAAATTTGTTCATTTATAAAAATAAGTCTTTTTGTAAAATTACCATTAGTTCACAGTTTTTCAATAATATTTTCCAGGTTAAGTTTAAAACATCATCCCCATTAAACCGA